ACACTGTTGGAACGCGGTGCTGATCGACGGCACCTGGCGTCTCGTTGACTGCGCGTGGGGAGCTCGTTTTGAAGTCAAGAATGGTGTCGACAAGGGGAAAATATTTTATCGGCTGAAGATGAACTACTTCCTCCCCGACCCGGGCCAACTTATATATACGCACTTTCCGCATGACACTGAATGGCAACTCCTACATGAACCAATCACTCTGAAGGTGAGTCATTAGCCTTTCGTTTTCTCCACTCGAACACCTACATGTGGTAGGTCTTTGACTGGAACTTCAAATCTACTCAACGCTTTTGCCAAAACCAAAAAAAACAACCTATCTAAAACGGATAATAAATGATATATTTGTCACATCTGAGAACTAGGCCGATTTGTGGATTACTGCGCTAGATAACTGGAACGAGTTTACACAGGTTTTATTTATGACCTTTTTATATAAACTTCGCTAATATTCTTCTCTCAGATGATGATATATAACGTCAGTCGTGCTTTTACATTTGGTGCATTAAAAAGAGTAATGAAATGATCGTTTCCAGTTAATGGTTGTTCACGTACTACGAGCGCAAGTTATCATTCAGCAGCATAATATAGTTTTGATCGATATTTGCTGCCGTTTGCGGGTCAAAATCAACTTAAGGCAGACCCTTGAAGAGGAGGTGAGGGCGAGGTCATACCCACCAGATCGATTAAATTACCATCTTTAGGAATGCGAAAAAGCCATACTGCATGGCCGTCAAAATAGGCCCTATAAGAATAACTCTGTGGTCGAATGTCATCATTTTATACATAGGTGCTTGGTCAGATTGTCTCCCAGTCACATCCGGTGCCACCACCTCAATGACTCTTTTCTCTTCACAGCCGAAACTCGGTCTTCTTCGCAGTTCATCTTCACTAGATGCGCAAATGCTGGGCAGGTTGCGACCAAGCCCCCAGACAAACGCTGTCATCCCGAGTATTGCATGCTGTATAGGTATAGCCGCCTGATCGTTACCCTTTGAAGATCCGC